AGTGTGAGCGAAATACTCAAAAGATTTCAAGAACTCGGTAATAAACATTTCAATAATAATAATAATAATAATAATAATGGTAGTAGTATAGCAGACGATGAAAGGACGATAACGTTAAAACAAATTCATCATACTTTAATATGTTTGGAAGAAAAAGTAAGAAATTTTGAAAATTGGAACGAATTAGTTAGAAAGGTAAGATGTAAAATTAAAATTAATTTATTATTGACAAAAAAAAAATCTTGTACTATTATTATTATTATTATTATTATTATTATTATTACTATAATTATAATGATGATGATGATGATGATGATGATTATTTTTTTTTTTTTTTTCATCTTCTTTCACTGTACTACTCTCCGTTTCATTAATTAAAACTACTAAAAAAAATTTATCACTTTTTATTATTATTATTATTAATTATATTTCACTACATTTAATTACCTTAAATTATTATCATTATTATCATTATTATTATTATTATTATTATTATTATTATTATTATTATTTTCAAAAAAAAAAATTTGCTGAATTTTGATTGGTCGGTTTGGTCGATTGGAAAAATTCGCGATCAAACGTCATAAATATTTTTTTTTTTTTTATTTCAATCTCTCACTTTCGTTTATTTACTCTATGAAAGTTAAGTTTTCCTTTGACAGTACATATTTTGTAAAATTCGACAAGGCGGTGAGTCCAATATAATTTTTAACATGGACGAAAGAGAATTCGTTGAAATTTTTTCCTGTTTTTTTATTTTATTTTATTATTTTTAAGGGGGAAAAAAAAAGATTTCAACTGTCAATTTTTTTTTAACAATGGCAGAAACGTGAAAAAAAAAATTGAAAATTTTAATAAAAAAAAAAAAAAGAAAACAAAAATGATAATAATAATAATAAAATTTTTCATTTTTTTGTTGTTGTTGTTTGTTTGTTGTTGTTGTTTTGTTATGTTTGAGGGTTCGTCCATTTTTTTTTTTTTTTGTATTTCAAAATCAAAGTTGTGGAAAATTTTTTCCTTTTTTATTATTATTATTATTTTTTTGAATAACAAACAAAAATGTCAGTAAAAAAAAAAACTTTTGTTGTTGTTGTTGTTGTTTTATAAAAAACAGAAAGAGAGAGAGAGAGTTTTTTAAATAAATTCGAATAAAGGATGAAAAAAAAAAACAAAAAAAAATTTTTTTTTTCAAAATTAAATTTCATTTAACTTAAAATTAAATATTTTTTTTTTCTAAACATTTTTCTCCAGTTTTGTTTGTCTGGAAAAAAAATTTGATTCCTTCATTATAAACAACAACAACAACAAGAGAGAGAGAGAGAGAGAGGGGGGAGATCAGAATCGGAAAAAAAAAAATTTTTAATGGTTTCTCTTTAACTCAATCATCATACAAAAGAAAATTTTTTTTTTTTGGAATTCGAATTTTTTTCCAAAAAAAAAAAAATTAAATAACAAACGAAATTTCTAGAAAAAAAAAGTTTTTTTCCTTTTGAATAAATAAATAAATGAAAATTTCCCGGAGGAATTTTTTTATCAATTTTCTTTTGTTATAATAAAGTCAAAAGCAAAAAAAAAATTTTCCGGTTAAATCAAAAGATTTTTCTTATATTATTATTATTATTATTATTATTATTATTATTATTATTATTATTATTATTATTATTATTATTATTAATACTCGTTAACAAAAGATATTTGTGAAAAAAAAAAAAAATATTCCAGAAAATCCTTTTCGTTTCTTATCAATTTTTAATAAGAGATTAATAATGATAACGATTACTACCTACACGGTTTTTGAATTTTTCTAAATGGCAAAGGAATCATCTAGCAGAAGAAAAAAAAAAAATTTGTGTCAGATGCACGTGTACGTATCAATCTCGCGGGTGCGCGTGTGCGTGCGTGTGCGTGTGCGCGTGCCGGTTTTATTAATTCAATCATCGCACACTCTAATTCACAAATTAATTCATCTTTTCTTATTTCTAAAAAAAAAGTTTTTAATTTTTCTTTCCCTCCTCCTCCACCCCCCCAAAAAAAAAGAAAAGGAAAGAAAATTAATTTTCCTTATATGACCTTGACATTGATTTTTCCTTCTTACCGCCGCTTTACATCTGTTTGTAATTTTTCCTCTTTTAACGGAATGAAAGTTTTATGAAATTTTTATCATAACGAATGACAGATTTTATATTTATGAAAAGTAAAATTAATACGATGATGATGATGATGATAAAAAAAAACCAAATTAAAAAAAAAAATAAAATTTTTAATTAATGACTTTCAAGATGGCGGTGGTAAATGACGATGATGATGATAATAATATATTTATATGTGTGGGTAAAAATTGAGTCGGAAAAAGTGAAAATCTCATTTAAAATCAACTTTTTTTTTTTTAAATAAAATATCAAATCAGTGACGTATTAAGTATAACGATTAATTATTTATTATTATTATTATTATTATTATTATTATTATTATTATTATTATTATTATGCCTTTTTATTTATCTAATAATAAAATTCTTGCTCTCTTTTTTTGTTTACGGGAGAGGGGGCGGGAGGGAGGAAGGGAAGGAGGAGGGATTTCCGTCGTCGATTTTTTTAATTAATAAAATTTTTTTTAAAAATAATAATAATAATGATAATAATGATGATAATAAATAACTTTTTACACTTTTACGTACATGTATATAATTACAATTAACTACTTTTTCCTATCTGTTTTTTTTCTTCTTCTTTCTCAGTCACGCACATGCACAAACACACACTCTCTCTCTCTCTCTCTTTTTTTTTTTTTTTAATTTTTACTTTACTTATAATAAAAAAAATAATTTTTGCCCTCCATTTTTATTTTTTTTTTACTCTTTAAAAAGCATTATAAATTTGATTGTACTTTATTTTTTTGTTGTCTCGTGTGATTCCCTATGGAAAATCTTACGAAAACATTTATCATTATTATTATTTCGTAACAAAATCTTTAAAAAAAAGGATAATTGTAATTTTAGTTTTCTAGGAAAACGTCATTATTATTATTATTATTATTATTATTATTATTATTATTATTATTATATTTTCAATGAAATATAAAACGATTTTATATGCGAAACATTATTTTTTTTGTTCGATTTAAGAGGAAAAAAAAAATAGAGAAGACGTTTATGAAAAATAATTGTCCTTCTTATTATTATAATCATCATCATCATTATCTATCATTAAAATAACGAGATACTTTTAATAAATAAATAAATAAATGAGGGCAAAAAAATAATATCAGGTTTAAAAAAAAAAAAAAAAAACGCATGACGAGTTTTCATACTTTTTTTTTTTATCCATGCAAGGAACCGTAAATAAAATTTGAATTTAACCTTAAAATTTATAATGCACACGTTATAGAAAATTTATATTAAATTACATTAAATTGTTTTGCATGTTTTAAAAAAAAACTTTTTTTTTTTTTTTTAATATTTATGTTAAGTAAAGAAGGTTTGTGTTAAATTTCCCTTCCCCCCTCTCTCTCTTATTATTATTATTATTTCGTGGGGGCCGTGTGTGTGCGTGTGCGTGCGTGTGTGATTTTTATTCGGAAAAATTTTAAATTATATATATATATATATATCCTTAACTTTTTAGCACGGTTTTCGTAATTTTCATCACGAGAGAGAGGGGGGAGGGAGGAAGGGAGGAAAATAAAGATAATAATAATAATAATGACGTCGTTACTGCAAATTTTTATTTTCGCTCGACGTATGATTGAATGCGGTAGAAAAAAAATTTTATTTTTATTTTTAAAGAGTAATTTACACACGCGTTTTTGTTTTTTTTCTTTTTAAACGCAGCCATTTTTATTTAATAATAATAATAATAATATTTTTTTTTATACGAAAACCGTTATATTGAAAACTTTACGTTGTTCATTTTATTATTATTATTATTATTATTATTATTATTATTATTATTATTATTATTATTATTATTATTATTATTATTATATTGCGCGTGTAAATAATATTAAAAAAAAAAAAAATTTTTTTAAAGTCTTGAAGGCGCCGAAAAAAAGAAAAAAAAAATTTTTATTTTTTTTCTTATTATAATTCTTATGTGCCGTGAATAAGTTTAAACATTTTTTTTTATTTGTTAATAATATAAAATATAAATAAATAAAAAAATTTATTAAAAAGAGATTCCATAAAAGTAAAAAAAAAAAAAAATTGTTTTAAAATTATTTTCAAACGTTAAAAAAAAAAAAAAAGAAAAAAATTTTTTAAACTAGAAATATTACGTGACGTAACTTCCAAAAAATATTTTTATTAAATTCGTTCGTTTTATAACCGCGTTAAAAATATCATTATTATTATCACTATTATTAATTTTTCATACTCGTAAATAATAATTAATAATTATTAACGTGCGAACTTTAAAGTATTTTTATTAAGTAAAAAAAAAAAAAGTTATTAAATTATCACCCGTTTGTTTTTAAATGTTTTGTTTTTTGTTTTGTTTTTGATTTTTAAATTTCGCGGGCTTTTAAACTTTCAAAATTAATAAAAGAATGATAATAATAATTAGTACTCAATGAATTTTCATTTATTTTCTACGTGCAAAAAGAAAAATATTAATTAAATTTAAATCGAGTGATGAAAATATTATTATCATCTCGAATTCAAATTCGATTAATAATTTTTTAATAATGATAATAATGATAATAAATAATATAATAATTGGAAAAGAAAATTTTTTATTGAAGCAGAAGAAAATGGAAAATTTTTAGGATTTTATGTTTGTTGTTGCATACACAGGGTTATAATGAAAATGATTAAGGTCAAAAACGTTCGTTTTATTGATTTTAATTTAAAAATGTCACGAAAATATTTTAAAATCGATTTCCCCCCCCTTTTTCCTTTTTTCCTTTATTAAGTTTAATAAAAAATTTTTTTTTTGTTAAAAAAACTAGGGAGGGGAGGGGAGTTCGTTTCGTTTTGATTTAATTTTTTTTTTTTATTCTTACAGAATCAACAATATCAGGAAAATACAAGGATATCCGATAAGGGAACGGAAAATTGGACCGGAAGAGGACCTCAGCAAAGGATATTACATTCTCAATCGAAAATAAATCACAAAGAACATAATAATAATAATAATAGTAATGAAGATGAAATCGTTCAAACGTCAATAAATGATGGAAAACATTCATTGTTACAATTTGCCATGCATTATTTTAGACAAAGTCCCGAAAAGTAAGTATTTTTTTACTATTATCATTATTATTATTATTATTAAACGTCGAGTAATAAATTTTTAGTGACGTCATAACTAACGTCCGGAAAAAATAATATGGTTTTGTTCTATCCGAATTAAATTTTTATTACTCTCGTAATTTTTTTCTTTTTTAATAAAAAAAAATAAGTTTTTTTTTTTTTTATTATAAGAAAATAAATTTTAACATTAATAATTAATATATATTGTCATTCATTTTAAATTACGGGTTACGGAGGAAAAAAAAACATTTTCTTTTTTTTTTTGTTTTTTATTCTACTAATTGATGTCTTTTGAATTTGTTTTTTTTTTATGTAAAATTGTCTTCGTTTCCGTAGTTTTTCAATTCCCCCCCCCGCACATCACGCCGTCGCCCCCCCCCCTCGTTTCATTCATTCATTCATTTATTTAATTCTCATCTGTCGTCTGTTTAGTTGTTTAAATATTCTTTTACGGTTTTCTTTTAATAGGAAGTTTAATATGATTATAATCAAATTTTCCTCCCCTCATCCCTCCCCCCCATTTGAAGTAAAGAAAATAAATTTTTTTTTTTTTGTTTAAAAAATAAAATAATTCCAGGTCAATAGTTTCGATTCCATATTTTTTATTCAATGGGGGGAAAAAAAGGGTAAATGAAGGAGTTACGAGGGAATGGGGAGGGGGTAGGAAAAACCGTTATAAGAGAGAAAACGTTTTATTTATTTTTATTTTCATAAATGTGTGATCTGCATCACTTGTTATGGATAATTTTCTCCCTTTTTTTTCTAAACAAATATTTTCCATAAAAAAATCTTCTCCAGTCAAATGGATAAATATTTATTATATTTTTTAAAGGAAATAATTTAGAAAAGAAAAAAAAAAGGTGCTAAATATTTTTGCATAATACGTTAATTAAGTCAATATTTACTTTCTTATTTTCGTTAATGTGTTTATTATTTAGTTTTTTTTTTTTTATTACTCATAACTTTTCATTTTACTTTTTCTATTATTATTATTATTATTCATTTACGAATACTTTTCTTTTAAAAAAAAAAAAAAAAAAAACAACAACTTTTTCTTTCCCACATATTTCCTTTCTATTATTCATTATTATTATTAATTTTTTTCTTTTCATAAATTAATTAATTTTATTTTAATTATTAATTTTTATAATTCGTATTAATATTCATATTATTATTATTATTATTTTCACTTTTTATTTGCGACTCGAATTTTTTAAATTTATCGGTTTTAAGATATTTTTTTAGGGGGATTCAAATTTCTAATTTTATTCTTAAATATCTCCAAGGTGGATTTATCGTACGTTTTTTTTGCTCCTTTAAATTCATATAAAAATTGTTTCCCGTTTTTTATTCCCAAATCCTAGTAATTTTTATCCTTCAAAAAATCCAACCTTTTTTTTGTTCCCCCTCCCCGTGGTGTTTTCATCCCACCGGTATCGATATTTCAATTCATATCAATTTTTTTACATTTTATCATCCAGCATCACTTAAGTGGTTAATTCAAGTGCACGTGACACGATCTGTTTTTTTTTTTTGTTTTAATAAGTACTACTTAACTACTACATCTCGATAGAAGTATTTCAATAATCGATTTAAATAAATTCTTTTAATAATAATAATAATAATAATAATAATAAAAAGTAACGGTTAAGGATGATAAAATATTTTTTTTAAATCCACAGAGAAAATAAATTAAAAGTTTTAAGTATGAAAAACGTTATTATTATTTTTAATAAAGTATTTTTAGTTTTTTGCGCCAATCGGAAAACATTAACAACAAAAACAAAAACACAAAAATGTTTCTTTTTTTTTTACTTAACTTACGATCCTCATAATAAATAAACGAATTTATGTACATAAATACAATCAAATATGAGAAAATTACTTTTTCTCTATTATATTGTATTGAATTTCCTTTCTTAGAGAAAGTAAATTAGATTTCCACACGTTTAGTATTAACAATAATTTTGAGTATTATTAAAATTGTTCATTTCTTATTATTATTATTTTTTTTTTCTTTCCTGTTAACGGTTTTTTTTTTTTTTTTGAATTTATCTAGATTTTTAAAGTTGCCAGCCATGTTTTATTTTTATTCGCGTCGTGCGTTAGAGTGTTTACATTTTTTTTTTTTTTTTTATTTAATGTATTTTTTTGTTTGTTAAGTTTGTGACACTGTCGTTAATTTAACTTTTTTTTGTTAGATTTGAAATGCTCAAAACTGCGGATGGTTCGATAAGTGGATCTTTAAAAGTGATCGAAGGTAAAAATAAAAAAAGTAAAGAAAAAGGAAAAACGGGGAAAAATACGTCGGAATGGACGTGGAAGGAACAAGTGGATTTGGTTAAATTCACGGCAAAACCCATAGCACAATCTTTACTACAATTGGATACGTCAGAATTAAGCGATTTGGCCGTAGAATGTTTTATTTGCCTCATGAGGTACATGGGAGATTTACCCATGCCTACAGACGTTTCCGAAGTCAAATGCGTTTATACAATATTAATGGTGAGTTTTAATAAACGCGGGGGAGGGGGCGTATTAAGGTTTATATATAATAGAATTTAACAAAATAATTTTGCGCAACAGCATTGTCACAAATTCGAACAACTTCGCGATGAAATTTATTGTCAACTTATGAAACAAACAACGAATAATAAATCAATACAACAAGAATCTTGTCAACGTGGTTGGAGACTTTTTTCAATTGTTGCCGCTTATTTCGTTTCTTCAGACACGTTAAAACCTTTTCTATTTAAATATTTAGAAACTGCTGCTTACGACAAGAGGCGAGCCTATCACGGTACGTTTTTTCTATTTTTTCTATTTTTTTTTTTTTTTCTTTTGATAAAATCAATTTTAATTGCTCCAATTCTAACTACTTTTTATATTTTTTTTTTTTAAATCGATTTCCGTTTTTTTTTTTTTTAAATTAAATTAATAATAGAAGGGGTAATAATAATAATGATTTTTAATTAAAGGTACGGCAATGGTTTGTTTACAAAATTTAAGAAAAACATTTAAATATGGCGGAAGAAAAAATGTACCGAGCGTTGAAGAAATAACTGCTATAAGCGCTGGAAGAAATTCTAAAAGACAGATTTACAGGTTACCAGGTAATAGAAAGATAAATCAATTTATTTTTTCGTTTTAATAAAATTAATTAATTAAAAGGTAATTGATAAAAAAAATTTAATTTTTCAGGTGGAACGGAAAAAGTTGTCAATACGAAAAGTACGACCGTCGTTCAAGATGTTATTGAAGAACTTTGTGTTATGATAAACGTAACAAATCCTCAAGAAATGGAAGAATTTTCCGTTTATTGCATCGTCGAAGGTGATACATTTACAATGCCACTAGCTAGAGAAGAATACATATTGGACGTAACGACCGAATTACAAAAAAATCATCAAGTATTAATCATCATCATTATTTTTTAAATAAAAACGTTATAATTATTATTAATTATTTTTATTGTTTTTTTTGTAGGTTTTCTATTTAATTTTTTGCCGATCAGTTTGGTATTTTCCATTAAGATTAGATTCACAACTTTATGTCGAAGTTGTTTTTAATCAAATCGCACCTGATTATTTGGAAGGTTTGTTACTCGTTATACCTGGAGAATCATTAGAACAAGACATAATCGTAAGTATGATAATAAGAAAAATGTTTTTTTTTTTAATTTTATGAGCGTAAACGTAATTTTTTGTTAAACAGTACGACATATCAAAAATAGCAGCACTTTTACATAAAGCAGCCGATATGACGCACATTCCGACAATGAAAGAAACAAAATTTTTACTTCCAAAACCTGCATTGAGTGTTCGAGATGTAAAACCGTCACAATGGGTCAATATGGTTCAATCAAATTGGCAGGACTGTGAAAATATGTCTACGATTCAGGCCAAAGCTCAAGTTTTAGGTAAGCCTCCCCGTTTTTTTTTTTAATTTGTTCGAATGAAAAATGTCAAAGGGATCAAACTCCTTTATTTACATATAAAGTGAGATAAATGACAGAGGGAAAGAAAGAGAGAGAGAGTGTGTGGGTGTGGGTGTTGGATGCGTGTTAATTTAAAACTGATGAATGACCTTTCTAAGTTAAATCTAATGTCACGAGAATTTTATAAAATAAATTTTTTTTTTAAAGATATTTTATCAAAATGGCCACTTTTTGGATCGAGTTTCTTTGCTGTTAAAAAGGCTGTCGAATCGAAAGATAGAACTGATCACATATTGGCTCTTAATAGAAATGGAGTACATTTTATTGATTTAATAACACACGTAAATATTTTATTTTTCAAAAAAAAAAAAAATGTTTTTGTATGTTTTCCGGCGCGTGTGATTGATTGATTGATTGTTTTTTTAATTATAATTTTAAAGGAAACTTTGTTGCATTATCCATTTTCGGAGGTAATATCAACAAGAAAAGTTAAATCCGAGGACGGTACATTGTTTCTTGACATGAAATGTGGTAATTTAATGCAGCAAAGAATAACAAGATTACAAACGGATCAGGCTCACGAAATATCCAGGTTGATTAGGCAATACATCACAATGCAACAGAGAATGGGTCCCAATTAAATGAAAATGTTTTTCTCTCTTTCTCTTTCTCTCTCGTGACAAAAGTGGCGTCGGAAATCATTTTTTTTTAAAGGTTACTTCGGACATTAAATCAATTTTTTTATTTTTAATTAATTAATAAAAACAGTCAGAGCATAAGACAAAGAGATTTTAATTTTAAATATTCAAAAAATTAGTAAAGTTTTTTTCTTGTTTTTTACGTTATTGCATTTTAATTTGAGTTTTCTATTTTCCAGTAAAATTTATTTTTTAATAATAATAATAAAAAAAGTGTTATTAATTAATTATTTACTGTATAAACCACAATGAAATAATTATGGTTTATTAGT